AAGGAAGGAAGGAAGGAAGGAAGGAAGGAAGGAAGGAAAGAAGGAAGACAGAAAGAAAAGAAGAAAGAAAAAAAGAAGAGACAGTTGAACAAATGCTAAAGCAAACTAGCACAAACTAAAAACAAAACACTTTACAAAACAAGAAAAAATATACCTTCAAGAAAATTAAAGTAAAAAGAATGTCTTTCCTTGTTACAATCTCCATCAAGCACGATTTCCTCGTTGTTCGCGGGATCGTCCCGTCTACTCGCGGGTTGTAAGCAAAGATCTTTGTCTTTCAGTTTAATATATCCGTCAATGACTTCGAACTTGGTATCGCATTTCTGGTGCAAAGTAATGTCTGTACCGATTGTTCCAGGACCTGAAGGAATGAAACATGAATATAATAAAAATGAAGGACGAAAAAATGGAAAAAGGGGGATGAAAAGGAAGGCAGGAATGAAGGAATAGTAGTGCTTGAATTTTTTGGGTGTCCACTTTTATTTCTATTTCTATTATGTTTGTTCTGATCGAAATCAATGTTAACGGGGGTGCAAAGATGCATGGGAATGACAATAAGTATACGGCATTTTGTAAAACAATAAACACAATTGTGAAAAGTGGGTCCAGTTCTAAACTATACTAGTGCAAATGCGGCGCGAATGTCAATTTTCTGAAACTTTGGTAATCGATAAAACCTAACACAAAGCACACAAAATAAGCTCAAAAAAAAAAAACAGTGGGCGGTCACCGTGCAAACCTGAGAGTAAAATGCATGACTTACGCTCAGGCCGTTAAACGTCTGACTTCACATGAAATGAAACGAGCCATCAAGTGGTAAAAAAATAACCCCGGTGAAAAAGAATACAAATTATTTGGGAAATAAAAGGTATTAGAATGTAATTGTAGCTAAAAATCTGTTTTCAAAACAGTTCTTTTCTATATATTTTGATGATTTTTTAATGATTAAATACTCGTAAACTATCCATTTTATAATCAATTGAAATGAGGAGTTATAAAATAACAGTAGCTAGATTTTGAAAGAAAGATATCACTTTTAGATTAATGTAGATTTTCCTAAGACGTCCACATGATAGTTTACTTTTGTCTGAAGTTGCTGTTCACGGCAGCCAATCAGATAATAGAGAGTTAAGATTAGAGAGCCGTTCAGATTCTCGTTTACGGCAAACGTGAAACGTCAGTTGACCATTAAAAAATTCTTTAAAATTAGTGAAAAGGAATCACGAAAAATCTCCAGGTATTAGATAAACAAAAGAATACTTGTCCTATTGTCGAGAAGGTTTGCAAAAGGTAAAGTGAAATGTAGGGAAACGATGAAAACGTGGTCACGTTGCGGGAAGGAAAAACGAGAATCTTAATCTGCCTATTCTTGTTAACGGCAAACGTGGAACTTAAATTTAAAACTAGTGACGGAAATCACAAAAATCTGGGATAAACTACAGAAGAATTATTTGTCTTTGGTGAGAAGGTTTACAAAAGGTAAATCGCAATACAGGGAAACGATGAAATCGTGGTCATGTTTGCAGTTTGCAGGAACGAAAAAACGGGAATCTTAATCTGTCTAATAAGTGGACAGCGTTTCATTTTTATCAGAGCGAATTTGGCGGCGATTTTTTTTCAAAGTCGCTCAGTCTCATTTCGACCCAATATGAAAACATTTTTTTAAATATTTACGTATCTTGTAACAAATGTATCTTCGATTATGTTGGTGTATTGAAATCTTGATTTTCACTAGAGCCGTTTTGAATAAAACATGAGTAAACTGAATCTCTCGACCAATGACAATTATCTAATTGTGGGATCTCTGTTATCCAGTTGAAAAATTCACCTGCTCTTTAGGGACAACTTTCTAGAAGAAAAATCACTYGTATTCCGACAACGATGTTGTTTCATACTGTTGATCGACTTCTTAAGGTTTGTACGGCAATTTTACTACTTTAGTCCATTTTATCCTGGTCCAAACCTTTTCGTACTGCTACAGACACAAGAGTTTTTTCCAAAATTAGCACACTTCTATATTCTTTCTTTTTTTTCTTTTTTTTCCTTTTTCTTCTTTCTTTGTTTTTAAATTGAACAAAGTTATTTTGCTGTGATGCATGGTCACTAAAAGTCTTAAAGCTTGTACTGCAGTCGTTTTAGAATTACCTCGAGTATGGTCCCCATAATGAAAAAGGATCAAAAAGTTCCCATGATCAGTTTTCTTCCGCGTTTGTGTTTCCTGATCTAATCTGTCATGGGTCTTATTTTTTTCTTAATACTATTATTATGATTATCATCGAAATTTTAGACTAAACCACTTGTTATCAACTTAAACAGATTTTTTGAACTATAAATCGTGTACGTTATCATAAGATAACTTCTGTAAAACTTGAAAAGTTCGCATTGACATATCGTTGACGTACCGATGTATTTGTACATAAACGTAGTCTACAGTAACACAGATATTTTTCAAATATTAAACTTTCATGTTGTCATACTATTGATAGCGCACTGAAAGATGAATCCGTAAGAACTTGAAACTGACCCTCTGGCCTCGATTCATTCACACATTACTCTGGTGCCATCGATGTATTTGTGCAGAAAACATTTTTACAAACCTGTGTTCGTAACCCACTACGCTTCATACATTCGAACGCGCTTTATTTAAAGTGACCAAATAACTCTGCTTTAATGATAGGAATAGTTTTCTAATATTATGTTTTTCAGCCAAAATTTGTATTAGTCAATCTTGTCTCGAAACGCATGCAAAAATTAGACGAATGTAGGATGTTGTAACCTTGTTTTCGCCGCATATCGCGGATCGATTTAAAACGACTCCACACGCCTTCGTCAATCCCCTTTTATTAACATAATGCACAATTAAATCAAGCTGCAAGGTCGTTGTAGTTATTGCGTTGTCAGCGGGTCATCTTACAATTTCCTTAGTGCCGTCTTTTTTTGTCTTGACGTTTTTCGTTTTTGTTTTAAAGAAATGTCAGTTCACTCATATGAAAAATGTTCAAAAACAACTAGGCTTACCAACTTGAAGTAATATTCTTCTAGGTCATTCTATCGGAAATTCCTTTCTTTCAGCCTTGTTTAAAGCACTTGCTTATTGTCAAATATCATGAAACCATTTTTAATTTAATTTCTTCTTCTGGTAATCGGAGAAAAACAAATAGATATTTACCCGTTAGTAATTTCATCTTCAAAAGGTTTCCGTTAATAATTGGCTATCTTCTAAATTTAAGTGGAGAGACTATGATATACAGGGTTACAGGAGGAAGAAAATTAAGCTTAACTGATTTCTTCCTTAATTTAATTCAAGTACCCAGACTTTAAAAATATAAATGTCTATTGCGTAAAATTCATAAGCAGATCAATTAGGGTTAAGAGTTTAAAATATATTACCGCAAACAGATTACAGGAATATATTTTCATCATTTACTTGTATTTTCCATTCCATTCTCACCGAAGACAAATATTATATTATTCATCTAACACTTGGAGCGGATTTTTGGGATTTATTTTCACTAATTTTAAATAATTTTTAACTTGTTAACTGACGATAAATGAGATGCTAAAAAAATCTCTATTCGTGATATTGATAAGCCGACAGATGGAAGTTGAAAAGTGGAAAAATTAAAAAGAAAAAAAAAGAGTTAAACTTGTACATATATAAGATTGAAAAAAGAATGAAGTTGCATGCATGCCTTGTTAGAATTGTCAGCAAGACGGACGCACGGACGCACGCACGCACGCACGGACGCACGCACGAACGGATGGATGGATGGAAAAAAGGAAAAAAGGAAAGAAGGGAAGGCATGGAGGAAGGAGGGAAGAAACAAAATTTTTAACTAAAGAGAAGAAAAGAAAGAAAAAGAATTCAAAGAGTTACGAATTCAAGCACAAGTTAATAATGAAAAAAACAAACAAGTTTGTAGTCAGTGTATCAAAGGGAGAAATCAGTAATTTCTAATCACGAGCTTAAACGTTTAGCCGTGATTTCTTTAAAATGTTGTTTTCTTCAACAGCATCGTTCTTATTCCAATCGAGCTGTTTTTGGCGTCGTTTTTCTGACTCTTCTTGCCATTTCCCATCGCAATACTGGTGCAAATGGTGAGTGTGTGTCGAAAAAGTCCCAATGGGGATACACTCTGGAAGGTTCTGCTTACGATTCGTCACCGGCAGACAACTACCCCACATGTCTTTTAAGATGCTTAACTGACAACACTCGCTGCAAGAGCCTCAGCTATGATCTTGCCGCCAAAACCTGTGAACTGAGTGTTTATAGCCGCTGGAACAAGCAATGGGCGTACAAGCCAAAGACGAACAGCATCTACATGGAAATGCTTGGAGTAGTGGAGGTCTATAGTAATGTTACCGAACAATCCAGCACTCCGCCCCCAACAATGGCTGCAGGCGCAGGTAAGGCTTTATCTTAAAAATGTGTTGCACACCCTGCTTATGACAAGAAGCTCGAAAAACCATACCCTGTTCAGCGGATCACTGCACTGCACTTGACACAGTCTTTTCCTTAACCTTGGAATGGCTCATGTTCACAGTTCTTACAAGCCGAGAAACTACTTAGTTTCTTTAAAATCCTTGGCTATTACCGTTGAGAAAAACTACTACTTTTCTCATCGTAATTTGCATTGCTAATATCTATGCATGCACTTTTCAGCTGGTGAGCCATTCAATGCAGAAACGTTCTGTGCTGGGAAGGAAGACGGAGACTACTCCCATCCAACCGACTGCAATCAGTATGTGACTTGCAGCACTGCAAGCAAAATCGCAAGACCATGTGGTGTGGGTATGAACTTTCATCCAAAAAACAAAGTTTGCGATCACGCTAGTAACGTTGTTTGCCCATGAATATGCATCACGATAAATTCTAGTAAAGTAGAACCGCTTCTATTAAGCGGTCACCTAGTAAACGGCCAACCTCTTTTAAGCGGTCACCTAGTAAATGGTCAACCTCTATTAAGCGGTCACCTAGTAAACGGCCAACCTCTTTTAAGCGGTCACCTAGTAAATGGTCAACCTCTATTAAGCGGTCACCTAGTAAACAGCCAGCTTTTTTTTAGCAGTCAAATAGTAAATGGCCAAAAAAGTCTTTTTTAGCGGATAGTTGGCAAAGTCCCTAAGAGGGTTTTCGCAGTAATTTATACCTCTTTTTAGCGCCCAATCCCTGTTGGTTGGTTACTTGACAATTCCCGATGGTGGTCGGTTAATAGAGGTTCTACAGTTAAGCAATCCCCATAGYATCTGGCTAAAGAAACTTTCACTGAATGGAATATTAGCTAACCACATGTTTAATTAAACACGAAATAGCTGACGAAGTAGAAAAATGAAATAATTTCAATTCTGAATGTAAACAGGACAACATTACTAAACTCGCTGCTAAACACCTACTAAAAAGTTTAACAATTTTTCTTATGTTATTCAAGACTCATTTTCTATAAGAAAGGCCAATAAAGCAAARACATCCAATTGACAAGAGTTACGTAATCGTGCAACTTACCTTTATAAACCATGGCACACAAAAAAATTATAGAAATTGTGGTAGAAACAGTTAAATGTTAATAGAATTTAGGAAGCATCTTCAAATTAAATCATAAAACACAGACGTTGTCTCAAAACATATATTTTAAAGGTATGTTTGGGTCTAATCGCATCCCATTTTTAGATTTATTATTTATCCATTCACTCATTTAATCCTAGCAAGCATCTGTGCGATGTGTTCTTCTGTGCAACTATTATATCAAACAACCAACCCTCATCAATCTATCTTGTGTTAATGTATTCGGCTTGGATCTCTCCGCCTTACCGCCATCCAACCGTACCGATAATGTTTCTCTGTCACTTATGGCTTATGCGCCAATCGCTGTTTAAAACGTACCCATGAACAAGGGCGGATCCAGCCAAAATTCTAGGGGGGGGCTAATTGAGTTTAGGGGGAGGGGCTAATTGAGTTTGGGGGGGAGGGGCTAATTGAGTTTCTTCCGTCAACATAATGGAAAACAATAAAAAAAAAAACATCTAATTCTTCAGTTTTTTTGGGTTTTTTTTTCTGCTGAAGGGGGCCCCCTGGATCCGCCCTTGATAAAACAAAATGCTTTGGTGTCCCTGCTGTGGAAGATAACCTTTGCTTGGCCAAACTCTCGTAGCACTAGAATTCAAGCTTTGTAATTTTGAACCCACAGCTTTTGGAAAGACAGCACATTGTACACAATCTATTTAATATTAACATAGAATCTCAACGCAAAAACTTTTAAAATTGTTACATAATAAAGCTAGTATATAAAAAACTCACGTTTTTGACGAATACATCGATTGCTCTGAACATGTTTTATGGCGCCATCCTTCTCCATTTGGAAGTAAGCAGCCTTTTCACAGCAGTTTTCGTGAAATACTACGGGTTGAAGTCCGTTTGGTAAGCCTATCCCACCATAGGGGTGAAGACACTTATGGCTAATCTTGTGTACAATACACCCATAGCCACCTGGGGGGAAACGATCGAGATTTCACTAAGCAATATATTCCCTGAAACTTGTCTCCACCTATCTTAGCTGACCTCCGTTCTGACTTTAGGCCGGAAGAGAAAAACTCTTCACGACTAGCCTGCCGCTTAGCCCTACAGAGGGGAAGAAAAACAACCTCTCCTGGGTATAACTTGTCTCGTAATTTCGTTGCAAAACAAGCTGCATGCGCYGCGAGAAATAGTGAAACACCAACAATTTTGTCTCGCAGTGTTGCTGTAGCTTTGCCGCAATCGATAATAAATCGAATTCTGATTCTAGTAACGACAAGGACTTAAAGACGTCGCCCATTTTGACAGCCATGATACTTCATCGCGCATAAATTAATTATCGCTCCAGACCATTACGATGTGTGACACAAGTTGCATGAAACATTGCCTGGTGTAACACACCCTGTTGATGGCACTCAAACAGTAGGCTTTCCCTGTGTAAATGAGAATGTAATCAAGAAACCCAGAGGTGTTTTACGAATTTCCGATATATGTCTAATAAAATTGAGAGAACGACCTCATGCAGCAGCCCTGACCATTTCACCATATTGCTTGATTAAACTATAGAACCCTACGGCTCTTTTGAGCGACTGGTGTTTAAAACCATAGCTATTAACTATGTTAAAACTTACCAGGTTTGATGACGTCCTCTGCTCTCTTCCCACCAACGTGTTTGTTTAACAAGTTTGGTATTTCTATTGGCTCAGATATATTAACAGCATCATCATTCCCATCTGGTCTCGTTAGAGTCCTATAGTAAACAGATACAATGTTTTCACCTTCAACTCGAAGAACGTCCTTTTCGAATGTCGAGATACTCCTTCCACACTCTAATGGCTGCAAATTCTTGATGTACGGCAAAATACTCCTGTGAAAAGGGTTTAATTTCGGTAACTTACAAGAAGCAGTTTTTGAAATATAGTCTAAATACTCTTTTGAATCCTCTCCGAAGCCAAAATACAAAGAATCGTTATGAACGAGGTAAAACATTAGAGAACATGTTATGAAGATTGTTGTGATAGTTGTTTTGATACGACGACGAAGTAGCTTGCAAAAACGTATGAATGGATGGAACACGAAGCGAAAATGGCGAAAAACTTGGTAAGGCATTGTAAAATATTCCTTGGATAGCCCAAAGTTTGAAGATTATTTCACCAAATGAGCAAAATACGTGCTAAAAAGTACTCTACCGTTATGATAAACGCCATAATTTATGCAGTCTAGTAACACATGGATGAATGATGAATGATAAATCATGCAGAACTCAGATAATCGTGTGGGATCCCTGTGTTTTTGCTGGCGACCCGGTGGCTGCATGGCGGGTCTGTTTGAAGACAATCAGCTTGAATTAGAGAATTATGAATATACATTTAGACCTACTGTCGAGCTCAAATTAGAAAGGAAAACTCGTGGCCGAACTCTTATTATGGCAACAAGATGTTGTCATTAAGATATTAAGATGCATGTACGTATGTCCAAGTCACCCCATGAAGTTCGAGCTAGGAAAATCAGTCTTTAACAAACTGGAATTTGATTCGCTTTAAGCTTCTCTACAAAAATAGAATACTTTAAATAGATTAGAATTTGTTTTTGAAAAATCGTCTGAAATTAAAACTTTGAACTGCCGGGCATTAAATAATAGCCCAGCTAGGAGTCCTACGTATCTTTTTCCGAGGATAAACAAACATACATGTCAAATAGTCCCTTTCACAGTTCTCTGCGCCATCGTGAAAGGAAGCTGTGCCTTTGCATTGAAGTGAGATGGACGGTGAGCTAGCTTGCAATAATAGAGGCATGTGAATAATTGTCCAAGGTGTTTAAAAAAGGTCTCTATGATTGCAAAGCCRCCTTTCGACTCGCTTCAGTGCAAAGGCAGAGCTACCTTTCATGATGGAAAGGGACTATTATTGAAATCACTTCTTAATAATCGTAGGATAGTTTGGTTCATGTTATTGCATGGATTTGGCCGAATTTTAAATGAATTATTTTCTGTTCTAAAATTGCAAATTTCTTCAGCTGTACTACTAGACCTCCGGTGCATGATGCGGGCAACCCAGTGAATGCCTATAGGGCTTCTTGCAACCACACTACTTTAATTAACGGAGGTCTTGAAAGCAGAAGCGTTACAAATAACTATAAGAAAACACACTTATGTTTTGCAGATATCTTTCAGCACTGCGCATCCTAGGTAGTTCTACTTTTCGTTATCATAATTAGCCATTGCATTGTAATGTTGAATTGCACGACTGGAAGCTTTTGTGCTTTGAGATCATCAACCTTCGCCTTGGGGAGGCAAGTAAGAAAGTAAATTTAGAATTCATTTAATAATAACTCAGATTTGATATCCAGATATATTCGAATTTTTCTATAGATTGTCTTCAAGTTGACCATACAATGGGTCTACCAAAATTTTACTTATTATTACAATACATATTTATATATRTTTGGAAAGAACCTCTCGTTAACATTCCGAGCTGAACACAAGGCAGAATCGACTCATTGGAGTTCTAACAAAAGCGGGCTTTATTTGACGTTTAATAAAACTGGAAAGCCAGCTGGTTATCCAATATTCAATTGACTTCATCCAAGGGAGATACTTCAAGAAGTGTTGTTCGTTATTAAATATTTTACGCCGTCAAAGTGGTTTTGTTATTCAATTCAATTCATCCAAAGGAGACACTTCAAAGAACTTTTGTTAGGTTATTAATATTTTAYCGTGTCAGTGTGAGAAGAAAGTGTACAGATTGCCAGTAAAGTAGCCAAGCTTGTAAGGCTTTATCTTCACTCGTCTTTTTGGTTCATTGTTGCTTTTTTCCCTAAGCTGACTGGGTACTCAGACACACTCAGACCGAGATACATTGAAGCTAAACTCCAAGGTAAGCATTGTATTTGATAGAGCATCTGACTAGCATTACGAAATACCATTTTTTATATATCTCTTGCTAAAAAAATTATTTGCCTTGTTAATATGGAGAGTTTTAAGGTTGATTTTCGTATATTTAAAAACCTTTATTAACAAACTTGCAAACTTAAACTTTTAACAGAAAACTAGCTACAATGGCACATGAGCTTATATCGCAAAATCATACAAAAATGAATTCAAGTAAATAAATCCTAAATTCTGTTGCATAATACTTCGGCAACATACAAAAAAGTCTTAAAAACAGGGTTTAAACAAAAAAGATATCTACTTGAAAGCCCGACGGAGGAAAAGGGAAAAAAACTTTTGTCTAATATCTCCACACGTTAATTTTTGGACTCCGATATACAAAAAAAAAAATTCTTCTGTTAACACCTAATAATTTTAGATGTAGATGTTTCTGTATTTAATATWTTTTTTTGATCAATTGAGTGTAATTTCATCATTTTTCCGATGTTTTCAGTACGCCACTATCAAGATTACATTTCATTTGATTACAGCTCGATCTGAAAAAAGTATTTAAAAAAGATACAAAAAGATTGTAATATTGATAAGAATAATAATGGTTGACAATTATCTGCTTCAGTAGAGGCTTTCTTTATCTCCATCTCCTCCCTCCTTCGTGTTTTTAAACCCGAAGGATTTTTTTTTAAATACTAAAATATTTACAATAGTTTTTTCTTTTTTAAATACTAAAAATCCTGGGCCACTTCGATTGATAACGGTGCCGTGTAGACACCGAAACGTCGCGCTAGTTTATAGTCATATGTTCATTAGGGTTTGTTCTTCAAAATCTTTGCTCATATTTACTACAAAATTACGTTAAAAAAAGTTGTGACATTATAAGAATGATTGATGGCGGTGCCTTGGCTGACTAAAAGGTACAAAAAATTTGCAGCATCGTGATATTGGTTGACAGCGCCCTTCTTTACAGATCAGAGGCTTCTTCTTCTTCTCGACTCTATTTTTCTAGTAAAGAAGCCCAAGAAAGAGAAAAAGCTCTGCAAAGCAGGCATATAGAAATAGAGTCTTTCTTCTTCGCCATTTTTCGGCCTCTGCTATATACATATATTTTWAAAAAAAGGTTGAATACTGAATACTTTATACTGAATAGTGCATTCCAAGACCAAAGTGCATTGTGGGTCATACTGACATTGTGTAAAGTAGAATTAATACTTATTATTTATTCTATTTTTAGTGTATTCCATCTGAAACAGTATACTAACTACATTAACGACCCACATTGCCCTCTGGTCTTGGAATGCACTATTCAGTATACAGTATTCAGTATTCAACCTTTTTTTAAATAGCTGTATGCCAATTTTATTTGTTGTGTCTATCGCTTTTAATAACAAAGTCTATGTAGAAAAACTTATACACTCGAATGCAAAAATAACAATACATGCTTCATCTATATACAAAGTTATTTAAATATTTATACAATTAAATACAAAAATAGCAGTAATGGATGCTTTCTCTATATACAAAGTTGTTTTCAAACATATTCACTGCAGTAGGTAGTTGTGTTTGTGAATGCTTCTTAACATCTGTATTTAGTCATTGGTGTG